ACGAAAGAACTGGTATGTCTGGGCGAAGGCCCAATACAGAGCTCCAAGACCGCCCAAGAGGTTCCGGAGACGGCCAACGAGGACCCCCGAACGGCCTCAGAGTTCTGAAAAGAAATACTATCCCCTGGGGCTTCGGTCCGTCACGCTGGCCACCCGGAAGACCGCGCCGTTGCGCAACCTACGTCTCCCACATCGGCCTTTTCGATCGAGACATCCTCAAAACATCGCGATCTTGGGGATCCTAGCCCAGGACGCCTTCTGATAAGACGTAGCGTTGCCTCCAAGTTCGCCCCAGAAGTCTCGAAGACGGCCCAAGACGGCCTCAGAGGCCTCCAAGAGGCCTCCAAGACGTCCCAAAAGGCTTCCAAGACGGCCCACGAGACCTCCCAGAAGTCCTCCAGGAAAGCCCGGCGAGGCCCAAATCGTTGATTTTGTAATTCTTTTCGGCCTCCCGACGGCCCGAGACGGCCCAAGAGCCCCCAAACATCGCCCCAATATCGCCCCAAGAGGCCTCCAAGATGGCCACAGGACAGCCCAAGAGCACCCAAAAACGGTCCCAAGAGGGCCCCAAGACGGACCAAGAAGCCTCCAAGACGCCCCAGATGGCCTCCAAGACGGCCCTGGAGCACCCCAAGAGGCCCTAAGTCGGCCCAGAGAGGCACCCAAGTCGGCTGCCGACGGCGTCTGACGGGCCAGGAGACCATCAAGACGGCCCAAGATGGCTCCAAGGCGGCCCAAGACGGCCCAAGAGGCCCCCCAAGAGATGTCCAAGACGGCCCACGAGGCGCCCGAGAGGGCCTCCAGGCAGGCCCGAAGAGGCTCAAATCATTGATTTTCTTTAGGTGTTTGAATATTCTTGGCATTTGCTTCTTTTCGGCCTTCCGACAGCCTGAGATGGTCCAAGAACCCCCAAATATCCCCCCACGATCGCCCAAGAGGCCTCCAAGATTGACCCAGGACGGCCCAAGAGGCCCCCAAGACGGCCCCAAGAGGGCCCCACGACGGCCCAAGAGGAACAACAGAGACAGGTAGATCATCGAAGATCGAGGAGAATGGTGGAAGGGGAAAAGAAAGCTAGAAACTGCTCCAACACCACTGGTCGGGAATGAAAGGCAGACGCGGCTAGGAAACGGAAATGGCGAAAGCTCGAAAATTCTTCGAAACCCTACAGGGAATAAGCGATGATTGCCTCTTCGGGCGCTCTTGCGCAGCTTTCTGAAAGCCTCTGAGGGCCTCTGGCCAGCTTCCTGGGGGCCTCTAGGGGCCTCTTGGGGGCCTCTAGGGACCTCCAGGGAGCCTCTCGAGGTGGAAGCTCGGATTGTCGGTTCGGGTTACCCCTTCTGTGTCCTTTTCTGGGCCGTCTTGGAACGGTCTTGGGCCGTCTTGGGCGCCTCGGGCGCCGTGTCGGGGCCCTCGTGGGCCGCCTTGGGGCTCTCTTGGCGGCCTCTTGGGCTGCGTTGGAGCTGTCATTGGGGCCTCTTGTGCCGTCGTGGGGCGTGGGGCCTCTTGTGCCGTCGTGGGGCGTCGTGGGGCGTCGGGGAGCGGTCATTGGGGCCTCTTGCGTCTTCAAACACCAACGGAAAATCAATGATTTGTGCCTCTTCGGGCCCTCGTGGGAGGCATCTTGGAAGCCTCTTGGGGCGTCTGGGCCCTCTCAGGCCGTCTTCTACGACCCTCTGGGCACTTCTGGGTTCACATTCCCCTTCTTGGGCCTCTCTTGGAGCCGTCTTGGGGCCCTCTCGGGCCATCTTGGGCGTCTCAGGGCGCCGTTTCGGGACCCTCTTCGGCCGTCTGGGGGCCCTCTTGGAAGACTCTTGGGCTGTGTTGGAGCGGTCTTGGGGGGCTCTTGGACCGTCTTGGAGCATCGGGAAACTGAAAAGACAAAAGCTCGAGAATCCTTCAAAACTAAAAGTCAGCGACTTGTGCCTCTCCAGGCCCTCTTGGGAGGCCTCTTGGAGGCTGGAGGCCTCTTGGGGCGTCGGGGAGGCCTCTTGAAGAGTCTGGGGCTAATTCTGGGGCCTCGTGGGCCACCTTGGGGCCATCTTGGGCGTCTTGAAGCCCTCTGGTCCTGTCTTGGAACGGTCTTGGGGCAGTCTGGGACCGTTTTGGGCGCTCCAGGGACGCCCCAGGGGCCCCCGGACCCGCCCGTCCCCCCATGGGGGGTCGAGGCACCTGTTAGGGGCCGCTGGCCTGCCCCCCAGGGATCAGTATATCTTTTATAAATATACACACATACACACACACACACACACACACGCACACGCACACGCACACGCACACGCACACGCACATGCACACGCACACGCACACGCACACGCACACGCACACGCACACGCACACGCACACGCACACGCACACGCACACGCACACGCACACGCACACGCACACGCACACGCACACGCACACGCACACGCACACGCACACGCACACGCACACGCACACGCACACGCACACGCACACGCACACGCACACGCACACGCACACGCACACGCACACGCACACGCACACGCACACGCACACGCACGCACAGGCACACAGGCACACATACATACACACATAATTCGAACAGTCTGTACGAATAGAGGCTCCTCGGAAGAGGCAAAGGCAGGGCGACGGGGCTGCGGGGAGGGGGGCCAGCGAGGGCGCTGGGCGCCGGGGAAGGCGGGGGCAGGGAAGGGGCGACGAGCCCTCGAGAGGATGGAGCCCCTGCAGACGGGGACTGGCCCACGGAGGGGGCGGCGGGGCTGACGTGCAGGACGAGGTCGGGCGTTGCTTGATGAGGGGGGCGGTAAAGGGGTGGTCCAAGAATCGCACACCTTTCCTGCCCTTTTCTGGCCCTAGGGGGCCTGCTTAGAGCCCGTAAGGTGCACCTTTCCTCACCTCCCCACTCACTGCCCCCCATGACGCAATGGCCGAACGAGGGCACCACCCACCCGCTCCGGATACGCAGAAGGCACCGACAGACTCATGCACTACCACCATGCCTGGCCAGAGTCTCGGCGGCGAGCCCAGGGGGGAAAGCAAAGGGGGCGGGCCTTCTCAGAGGGCTCAGAAGGCCGCCCTTCTGATAAGTTGTCTAAGCTTTCTCCGAACACACAAAAAGAAAATTGTCAGAATGCACAAGGACCTCTGAGAAGCCCCGTAGCCTTCTGAGAAGGCCCGCCCCTTCTCACTTCCCCCGTGTGCTCGCTGCCGAGAGTCATCCTGGGCCCTGCCATGGTGCAATACTATACGCCTTCTTGGCCGAGACCAGGGTGGCGTATCCCAGGGCCCAAGAAGGCCCTGGCCAGGCATGGTGGTGGCGCATCCGCCGGACACCCGCTTGCAGGACGTGGGAAGGCGTGTGAGATGATTGGCTGCCCCCCTCCCCAGTTCAACCCCTCCACGAGGGTCCCCGTTAGGGGGGGGGGGGGGGGGGGGAATCGTCAACGCCCCTCTGGGGCCCTTGGAGCGAGCCTCCAAATCCACCAGCCGTGGCATCCAAGATGCACAAGATGCCTTTTTAAGATGGCTCACGAAGGGCACCAACGCCCTGGAGAGGCCTCGATGAGGCACAACATAGCCTCAACGCGGCCCAAGGGTCGCCCGAGACGCCCCAAGAGTTCCCCAGGAAGACCCCAAAGGGGGCCTCAAGCGGCAAACAATGGTGTTGTTGCCCTGGGTTGTCTCGTACGTTCGCGTTCTCGCATGCTTGCGCTGCTGCAAGCCCCAGGCGGCCCGCGAGACCCAGACCGACCCATGCCGGCCTATGAGGCCCCCGAGAGTGCCCAGAGACAACCCCAGGAGCCCCCAAGACGACCCAAGAGGCTCCTCGAGGGGGGCCCACGAGGGGCCACGAGAGGCCGAAAAGTGGGAGCCCACGCGGGGATGTTTGCTTCTAGCTCTAAGCCTATGGCATGCGCGACAATGCGCACAATGTGCGGCCCACAAGCCCCATCTTGATCGCCTGCCTAGGCCTTCATCGGCTTGAGCCACGCCCCTGAGCAGCGCGAGCTGCCTGGTGCTCGCGCAATTTGAAGGGGCCCTGGGACACACACACACACACACACACGCACACACACACAAATAAAAATACAAATAACAGGATTCCCCATATGTTCACATAGTCCCTGGGATTTTGTCTTCCCCCTCACTTCCGATATTTTCCCATATTTTCGGGGGAATCGACAATTAATTGTGTCTGCGTGTTTTTCCCCTCCTGGCAGATGTTCTGTGGAGACGCTCGCCTGCGGCAGACGGAGGAGATCGCAGTCCCCACAGGGCCTCCAAAAGCCCCCAGGAATGCAAGCCGGGTGTCAAAGCACGTGGGCAGTGATGCAACGCTATGGGCAGTAGCGCCGCACGACGGCTTTCAAGTCTGCTGCTGGGATTGCCGCGAGCTGTTGAACGTCATACGCACTGCTATCACAGATTCTCTTCGCATGCTTGCACAGTTCATTTGACCAAGACTGCTTCGGCCTTCCCCAGGAGCCCCGAAAAGGCTCCCACGAGACCGCTCCTCGGGCCCCCCAAGAAGCCCCGCAGCATACGAGGAGGAAGAGGAGGCCAAATCCTCAAGCACTACACGCAGAGAGCACGAAAGGCAGCGGCAGATAAAGCTACGAGGCGGGGATAGATTCATATCCAACGCCACTGGAAACCGACGTCCTAGTGCCCCAGCGGGCGGTGGATATGGATATATTTCGGCCCTCGGGGGTCCGCATATGTCCATATCCACCGCCTGCCGAGGCTCCAAAAACTGACCCTCCAGGCGGTGGATATGGATGAATTCCCGCCTCGGAACAACACACGCGAAGATCGGAAGCAGCACACCGGCGGAAAATGGGAGACAAGCCTCTGGCACGGTGCGCCCTCTGCGGGTTGGACCGCGCTCGCGGCGCTGGCTCGCGGGAGGCGCGCCCGGCCGGGGGCCTGCTGATGGCCATCACCTCCGTGAGCGCGGCGCACCCGTTGATCAGGGCCGCAACCCCGAACACGGACCTCGCCGGGCCACCCGATCCCAGACAGCCGACGATCTGCAGCTGGAGTCCGCTCCGCGCCCCGGAGATCCCGACCCCTTCCACGGGCCCCGGGAGGGGGGGGGGGGGCGATACGCGCGGAAGGCCCCCTTTGGAGCCCTGCGGGGCCTCTTGAGAGGCCCGAAGGGGCCCCGCTTCTGCCGCCCTCGCCGCCCCCCGACGATCGCCCCCCCAATTACGCGACGCCCAGGGGCCCCATGAGAAAGAGCGCCAGAAGCGATCGTTGGAGGGCCCGCTCGTTGGAGGGACCATGGGAGCCAGGCCCGCGGCAGCCGAGGGTCGAGGAGCAGCGCCCCCGGGGCTGGACAAGTGGGACCGTGGGGACCGGTGGCCCCTGCATGCCTATCGGCTACACGCAAGAGCGAACCTGAGCAAGAGCGACCCTGGGTGCGCAGTCTGTCGACCCCTCCTCCTCCTCCTCCTCCTCCTCCTCCTCCTCCTCCTCCTCCTCGTCGTCCTCCTCCTCCTCCTCCTCGTCCGCCTCTTCCCCCTCCGGGACATCGTGCGGCTCCGACTCCGCGCCGGGACATCGTTGGGGGGCCGCGGGGAGACCAAGCACGAGCGCGCAAGACGCCACTATCCCATCGCGTTCGGCGATCGGGGGACCACTATGGGCCCGCATCGAAGGTCACTCTGGCGAAGGGTCACTCTTGCGTCTGGTCGGCGATGGGCCTACTACAACATGTTCGCAGAACAGGAGGGCGATCGAAGAACATGAACACACTGTTGCTGTAACGTAACACCGGCGCATTAAAGCAAGGCGGTCTCAGCCAGAAAGGTTCTAAGAACATGTCGCGCAAATCACACAATGGTCTTGAAATATTCTTTGGTGGGCCTATATACCCCAGACCCTCGACTTCATGATTTATTCATGTCGTCGACCCCCAGAGGTCTCGACACACTCCTCGGCACCAGGAGGAGGGGGAGGAGGGGGAGGAGGGGGAGGAGGAGGGGGGGGAGGAGGGGGAGGAGAGGAGGAGGAGGAGGAGGAGGAGGAGGAGGAGGAGGAGGAGGAGGAGGAGGAGGAGGAGGAGGAGGTGGGAGAAGGGGGAGGAGGAGGAGGAGGAGGAGGGGGAGGAGGAGGAGGAGGAGGGGAGGAGGAGGAGGAGGAGGAGGGGGAGGAGGAGGAGGAGGGGGAGGAGGGGGAGGAGGAAGGAGGAGGAGGAGGAGGAGGAGGAGGAGGAGTTCTCCTCGAAGGTCAGGGCACCTTCTGAGCCTCCCGAGAAAGACCGCCGCTTCTGCCCTGCCCCCCGGGGCGCGCCGCCGACCGCCCCCCCCCCACCCTCGCTCGCCGCCGACTCTTGGCCACCCCGCGACCCCTCCTGCCCCACTCTCCTCCTCCTCCTCCTCCTCCCCCCCCCCCCCCCCCTCCTCCTCCTACTCTCCTCCTCCTCCTCCTCCTCTCCTCCCCTCCTCCTCCTCCTCCTCCTCCTCCTCCTCCTCCTCCCTCCTCCTCCTCCTCCTCCTCCTCCTCCTCCTCCTCCTCCTCCTCCTCCTCCTCCTCCTCCACTCCTCCTCCTTCCTCCTCCTCCTCCCCTCCCCTCCCTCCCCCTCCCCCTCCCCCTCCCCCCCCTCCCCCTCACCCTCCCCCTCCCCCGGAGTCCACGTCAGCTCGCACCTCCGCGGGAGCTGGCTGGCCGCGGTCGCCGCCCGCCGACCGCCCTCCCTCATTCCCCGATCGGTGCTAGCACTGCAGGGTTCGGAGGCAACTACTGGGAGGCTTCCGTCGGAAAAATGGAAGAGGACTGAGCCCAATAATTTGGGAGCCGTTACGCCGGAATGGGCCTCGGACTAAGCAGGATGAAGCCGGGTTAAGCGGGATTAAGCGGGATTAAACTGGATTAGGCGGGATCAAGCTGGATTAAGCCGGATTTCGGACCAGGGCAAAGTCAGAATTTGACCTCCCTGGAGTTGCATCCGAAGAAGGGGTCCTAGCGGAAGTTGAAAGATGTGGCGAACATTTCCCGCTGATTTTGGTAGCAAGCTGGGTTCCCGGGTTCCCGGTTATTGGTTCCGGGCCGATTTCGGTGGGTTCTGGGTTCCCAGGCTCCCGGGTGCCCGGTCCATCTCCCCGGCGAAAACCATCCACTGATTGGGTGTTTTTCTGGTGTAATGCTTTTCTTAGGTCGGGCATGTCCTCCTGCAGGCGGACGTTGGCAGAGAGACATTAAAACTGCCAAGCAAATGATCAAGAACAGTCCAAAAAAAACGCGACGAATCGTCACCAGACCATAGTCTTACTGTTCTTGAATACTCCTCCTGTAAAAGGAAATGACCGACTTGATGCTTTCCCCCCCTTCCTCCTCCGGCTGCTGCTGCTGTTCTCTTCTTCTGGCGGCCGGAAGAGGAGCCGTCTGGGAGGTCAGCGCCGGACACCGCGCGGCGTCGAGGAGCTCCCCCTCAGCCGAAGCTCCTGGGGAGGCCTCGATGGCTACGGGGGATTGCCACCGAGAGCTCTGGCAGCGCTGCGCGATGGCTCGGG